GTGTGTTGTGTGTTTAGTCGTTTAGTCGTGTCCGACTCTTCGTGACCCCATGGACCAGAGCACGCCGGGCCCTCCTGTCTTCTGCTGCCTCCCGGAGTTGTGTCAGGTTCATGTTGGTTGCTTCGCAGACACTGTCCAGCCATCTCATCCTCGGTCGTCCCCTTCTCCTCTTGCCGTCACACCTTCCTAACATCAGGGTTTTTTCCAAGGACTCTTTTCTTCTCATGAGATGGCCAAAGTACTGGAGCCTCAGCTTCAGGATCTGTCCTTCCAGTGAGCACTCAGGGTTGATTTCCTTTAGAACTTATAGGTTTGTTCTCCTTGCAGTCCAGGGGTTTCTCAAGAGCCTCCTCCAGCACCACAATTCAAAGGCATCAATTCTTCGGCGGTCTGCTTTCTTTATGGTCCAGCTCTCACTTCCATACATCACGACAGGAAAAACCATAGCTTTGACTATTCGGACTTTTGTTGGCAAGGTGATGTCTCTGCTTTTCAAGATGCTGTCCAGATTTGTCATCGCTTTCCTCCCAAGAAGAAGAAGAAGAAGAAATCGCTTAGCGATGGACTTTTTGCCATCGCAAAAGCGATCGCTTAGCGATGGACCCTATGGGGAAAATTCACTTTGCGATGATCGCGGGGAAGCGATCATCGCAAAGCCCCCATTTTCGGCCAGCTGATCAGTAGTTTCAAAATGGGCACTGGAAAAACAAAATGGCCGCCCGCTGTTTTGCCTCCCTTAAGAGACAGCGAAAATGGCGGCGCTACGGAGGATTTTCGCTTAAAGTTTTTAAGCGCATAGGAATGCATTAAATGCGTTTTAATGCATTTCTATGGGCTTGTTAGAATCGCTTAGCGATGAAATCGCTTAGTGACGTTTTTTCCGGAATGGATTAATGTCGCTAAGCGAGGCACCACTGTATAATTTTCAAAAAAATATAATTTTCATGATGATCACTCCCCAGGTACTATGGTATGCAAGTTACTTATTACTGTTGTATTCCCAAGCTTTGAAATTAATGTTGAAAGGCTATTGGAAGGTATAGTAACAGTGACAGTAATGGCAGATGCAGGAGGCATGACAGACTTTTAATTATGCAGGCTGCACATTGCCGTCCTCCCCAGCAAGCTGGGAACTTAATTTACAGACCTCAGAACAATGGAAAGCTGACTGAATCTTGAGCTGGATAGCTGAGATGAAATATGTTAAATGTATGGAATAGATATGAAAAGAAGTTATGTCCCTTTACTTCACCATTAGAATTAGTGACTGAAATAAAAAATTTCCCAGCAAACTTGAAGGGTTTAATTGATTTGTTTAAGTAGAAAAAAGTTGCTAGATTGAAGAATTGGATGATTAAAATGAGATTGACGGATCAGATTATAGTTAAACTTCAAACTAATAGATTATCATGGTATAATTATACCCAATTAGATAGTTGGATAAATGAATGGCTGAAAATTAATGGCGAATGTAGAGAATGCACTAAGTACAAACAATTTCTATCATCACATGAAGATATGCAGAAAGATGCTTTGATGAAGGGAATAGTAAGTAGGGTATATAATAATTTTGGAACAAGAGGAAAAAGAGACAGAACAGAAGGTTTGAAATCAATTTGGGATAATGATTTAAAGACGGAAATTAAAATAGAGGATTGGATAAAAATTTGGAGGATGCGAGTTTTAAGGTTAATGTCGGTAAGAATAAAAGAAAAAAAAATTAAAATCAGTTTAAGGTGGTATATGACTCCGGTGAAATTGAATATAATAAATGAAGATTATTCTAAAGCTTGTTGGAAATGTGATGAAGAAATTGGCATGTATTATCATATGTGGTGGGAGTGTAAATGGATTCAGAAATTTTGGAAACTGATTTTTAAGGAATTACATTATATATTTGGAAAAGAAATTGAATTCAACTCTAAAATTGCTTTATTGTCAATTTTTGATAAGATAGAACTTGATTATTGCTCAAAGGAATTGATTTCCAATTTTATGAAAAGTGCTAGAATATTAATAGCTAGATTTTAGAAAGAAAAAATGACATTAAATTAGAAGATTGGTATAATGAAGTATGGGACATTGCATTAAATGATAAATTAACTACTGAACTTAAGACGAAAAGAGGGCAAATAAGTTCAAATATTTTTATGCTATATGGGGCAGATTTGTTGAATTTGAATTCGTGAAAGGAAAGGGGAAAGCCTCTAAATAACAATCAATACAAATGTGGAAATGAAGTTTGTATTAAAAGTATTGTTCTAAAACTTTTGTATTTGTTTCTGTTCTGAAAAAAAATTTAAAATAATTTTTAAAAAACGACTGTGTTGGCTTTCTTGGCAGCTGCAGCACACTGCTGGATCATCCTTAGGCGATGGTCCATCAGGACACCTAAATCCCTCTCAAAGGTACTACTGTCGAGCCAGGTACCACCTATCCTGTACCTGTGCATCTGGTTTCTCCTGCCTAAGTGCAGGACCCTACTTTTCCTGCCACCAAACTGTATCTTATTGGATAGGGCCCAATGCTCAAGTCTGTCTAGATCCTTCTGAATGTTGAGTCTATCTTCCAAAGTATTAGCAGTTCCTCCCAGCTTTGTGTCATCAACAAATTTGACCTCATCCAGGTCATTGATGAAGATTTTGAAGAGCACTGGGCCAAAGACAGAACCTTGAGGGACCCCACTGCACACTTCCCTCCACATAGATGTGGTTCCATTGAGGACCACCTGTTGAGGGTGGTTGGTCAGCCAGCTGCAAAGCCATCTTACGCAGAAGTAAGTTGTGGTCTATCAAATGCTTTACAGAATTCTAAGTATTCTATATCCACTGTGTTTCCTTGGTCCACTAATTTAGTCACTTTACCAAGAAGGCAATAAGATTTGTTTGGCATGACCTGTTCTTAACAAACCCATGCTGGCTTCTAGTAATCACCTGGTTATTTTCTAGGTGCTCACAAATCTGCTGTTTGATCATTTTTTCCAGGATTTTTTCCGGGTATTGATGTCAAGCTGATTGGTCTGTAGTTTCCTGGATCCACTTCCCCCCCTTTTTTGAAGATTGGAACCACATCAGCTCTTTTCCATCATGATCATCCTAGAATTACAGAGCTGGAAGGGACCTATGGATCATCAAGTCCAGACCCTAACAAGGAGGCACAGAAGGGAATCAAACTCTGGCTCTGTGGCCAGATAACTAAACCAATGAATATGTTAAATCAAACAAGTTATTTTTGAACTTTCTGACTGTATGTGTTTTGTGTCCTGGGTGTGTGTTTGCTTGTTTTGCAAGCAGGCATTCCCGGATGGTCCCCACGCCAGCCATTTGGTCAGGGGGGTCCACAGTACTCATTAAATGGCAACATTCCAGATGTGACTCACAGGGATATCAAATCCGGAGGTTTCTCAGCAACTAGCGCCTGCTGGCCACAAGCCCTAGAGAGAAAAGTAACTTCAGCAGCACCCACAGATACTCACTCTGAGAAAGTAGTCTCCGTTCTCATTTCCAGATTTGATCCGGAACGTGTTGATTGTATTGGGGTAAATGGTGGTGGCCTGGATTTGGAAAATATCAGAGGGAACGTTCCTTTCCGAGCGGATGCTCATGTATTTGTGCACAATGGAGTAGGGCAGGTCTCGGCAAAGGGGGTTGGACACGGAGCAAATGCAGCGACTGTAAAAGAAACCGCAACGACTGAAAAACAAACTCCTTCCACGTACAAACAGGCATTTTGAAATTTTCACATGGCGCCTTGCTGACTAACAATCAGTTTGGTGACTTACTTTTCAGAGGCAAGCACGTAAGGTTCTTGGCACGGGTTCCTCGGATAACAACGATAGCCGCCATGATAATTTGAGCAAATTTCATCATCCCGGCATTCGTTGCCCACTTCACATTCATTTATGTCTGCGTCAGGAAAGAAAATAGATGAAGTTTTAGAGCGTCATTGCTAGAATACATACAATACAAGATGCATAAAAGGGGTGCAGCCAAGCCAATTCGGGATGTCCCTTGTGTCTTCTGTTTTTCAAGGTCTAAGTGATGCTCAGCATTCCATACATATCTCACTTATAAATCTGTCTCTGAATCTACAGGATATCATAGTATTTTGTCTACAGAACGAAGAGCATTCTTTCCAGGGAGGCTAGGCTGGTCCTCATCCTGTTATCCTTCTATGGACAGGCAATAGCAGGCAAGCTTTGGCAACTGGCTGGTGGTTGAGGAAGGGGCTTTTAACAGGTAGGCACAGGTCTATTTTATTTTAAGATGTCGTTATTCATGTGTTTTTAAAGGCGCACTTGATTCAGTCAGGCTTTCCAGAAAAGCAAGTGTGCATCTGCGTGTCTGTCGATTTTGCAGAAAGGTGACTGAACCTTTCTGTCTTTGAAAAATGAGCTATTCCACATATTCCCAGAAGTGAAAGAAGTTTATGCTGAGACAATCAGATGCTCGGAACAGTTAACAATTTCCCTCTTCCAGTGATGAGCTATCTCTAATGCTTATTTTTCTCCAAAAGTGCTCTGTAGCTAAGGGTCCCCAACCCCTGGTCCGCAGCCTTGCTAGGACTGGGCTGCAGAGATAAATCTCCTGCCCCCCTCCGTACGCACAGATGCATGCACATCTCTCCCATGCATGTATAGCCTCTCCCACACATGCACAACCTCTTCCATGTGCACACGGCCCCTCCCACACACACGTCCCCTCCTATGGCCCCTCCTCCACATGCACGGCCCCTCCCCTGCAAGCAGAGATGCCCCCCACCCGCTAAACTGGTCTGTGGAGGCAAAAAGATGGGGGGCCACTGCTCTATAGAGTATTGCATGTGCCACACCAAATGTCAGGATTTGTTTGGACAAAACCAAGACAATTACAGGAATATGGAACCGATTTATTTGGGTAGCACGGATATGCTCAATGTCTCAATGATTTGTAGAATCAACCGAAACCTACAGTCACTATTCCATCCAAATGTTTTGCAAGAAACAATAGCCTGCCACTATCTCTCAGTGGGTTTAGCAGGTGTGTGACGCCCCAATTGTGAATGATATCGCATTTTTGGACTTTGGAGATTTAAAACGGTAGAGCAACCTATTGTCTCCACCGCACATGCACATTTGAGGGTTGTGGAGAGGAAGGAAGGACACCTGTGGGCTCGATCCAGTGAACTGCGCTGAACCATGGTGCTCATCTTTATTTATCAAATCACCATTGACTCAATGGACTTCTTCTAGTGCGACTTTCTGCACTAAGCAACAGGATTTCAGCCAATAGGTCTACTTTATCCAAGACCAAGCAACCGGACTTAAGTCTTTGTTTTTAAATCCCAGCGCCTGCCCTAGGGGGCTGCAACCTGAAGCCATCAATCACCTCATCTAATAGAGCAGGCAAGGGATGGCAATTATGTAGGCTCCATCAGGCACAAGGACCCCCAAATATGGCCGCCAGCACCTCTGCCTCCCCCAGCAACACCACATCCAAGAACCTTTTAAACGTTTCTTGAATAAAAATGGCTTAGAAGGTCCCCTTGTGGTCTCCAGAGAATATGGGGAAGAATCCTGCAATTTTTCCATGCCCTCTCAGAAAAGCATGGAAAGACATAAGAGGTGCAAGTTTTTTT